TTATATATATATAATATATATTTGATATATATATAATATATTAAATAATATTATATATATACTATAAAAGGAATAATTTAATTTGAACTCCTGCAGTCAGGAACTCCCCCCCTCCGCTCCCCAATCGTTGGACGTGGTGGCCTCAGTAGCCCCTTTCAACTCTAGGATTCTGTGATAAATTGCACAGTAAGCTCATAATCTCTGCGCTGGATCTTTGCTGCAAGATCAAAAAAAACATTTGTGTTCCGTCCATTTGCAGGACTTGGGCAGCTGATAGCTTTGAAACTTTTATCTGTTTCTGGTGGAGAAAGCAATCCAATGCCCGGCGAGCTGATAGACGTGACATCGCAGCATCTCGTACGCTTCGACTCACTGAATCCCTATTCTATAGCAGAGAAAACCCTGGTTCTGAGAAATACAACGTATGTACAATGCTCATATTGCAGAGCAGGAACGGGGAGATTTTTAGACTGTGCAGCAAATGAGACGTGGTGGGGGACCAGACTCAGTTGCATTTAGCTCCCTGTTGAGATGAGTGAGATTTAAATCATGACTAACTTCCAATAAATCACACTGACTTTAGCGGGAGTGAGATGCTGCTAGCTTTGTGGGGGCACAGTTCTCTTTGTAGGTAGAATTGTACGTATGCTTGTGGTTGCTGTGGATCAGGATGAGTCATACAGTATGTTATACACATGCATACAATCTCATGTCCGTATAAGCAGAAATATTAGCATCTTGGGCAGAGCTGTGGGGTACTTACGGTAGGTTTCTACACAGTTCTAAGTCACCACGGGGAACTTAGTTCATGAACCCCATCAAAAATGAAGCTTGAAACATTTGCCCATCTTGCTCATGACTTTTATTAATGTGTGAAACCACGCAAAACGCGACAGTACTGACATTTAGTTTGACCCAGTAAAATCCTTTACAGTCAAACCACTTATTTTCATACCGAGGAATGAGAAGCCATGAGGTTGAGAGTGATGCACACCACTGCTTTAGCCCCAAGATTGCAGTCAGACATTCAGTAGCCCTGTTTGCATCATACACAACATAGCCCGGGAGTTAACTGGCAGCCTCCCTTTGGGTGCCAATGGCTCTGGGAGCAGCCGGCCACACTGAGTGAAAAAAATTAAAAACTGGAGACTAGAGTCCCTGCCCACCTACTTTCTCCAGGAAGGACATGGTATCCCATCATCCCTTGCTCCGGAAGAATACTGGCAAGGCTTCATTATCATTAGCCCCTTTCCTGCTGACCAGATGGGCAGCGTTAAGTGTGGCTTGGTAGCCAGTCAGTGTTTGGCAGGTATGTCCTGTCCTGCCAGGCCTCACCAGTGAGTTTTATAATAATAGAAAGGCTTGTTTTCCAGTCTCCCCAGCTCTTTGTCTGGAAGGATTAGATAGGCAAAAGGGGTTAATTGCCTGGATTTAGGCATTCCTATATGACAGCTGCATGGATGGAGTTAGTTTACTCCAATGTGTGAGTGGGTCTCCTCCATTTAACCCCTTGAGGATGAATTGACTGGATAGATCAATTTCTTCTTGTTATTTATTTATTTATTTATTTATTTATATTTATTTATTTATTATTAAATTTGTATGCCTCCCATCTCCCCCCAACGGGTGACCCATAACAGAGTCGCCTTTCCACTGACTTTGGTCATTATGTTGTGTGAACAAGGCCAACGTGGAGCCCCTTGGACGTCCTAGACCAGTGCTTCTCAACCTTGGCAGCTTGAAGACGTGTGGACTTCAATTCCTAGAATCCCCCAGCCAGCTTTGCTGGCTG